GTTTTGCCATCTCGGTGTGCATGCTCACACCGATGCAGGCACACGCGTGAGGTGTTCAGCTGTGCTTTTCAGCCACCGCTTCGAGTCCTGTGCGCAGAGCGACATTAGCTGGAGGTGAGGGGGGTGGGAACCCTCCCCTGCTGGGTGGCGCTGTGGCTGCCCCTTGCATTTGCCCCACCTGGTTTGTTCAGAAGCGGCTCAAGTAGCCTTGCTGGGCACGGGGCACTCACTCTTCCTCCTGCTCTGGCCAGCGGGAGGGTAAAAGGGCAGGACCTCCTTCAGCGTGGGCAGGGGAGAGGCCTCAGGCCTGCCGGGCCACCATGGTGCTGGGACAGCAGGATTTGTGTCTCAGCCTCAGCTGACTTCTCACTGTCGTGCCAAATCTCCGGTGGCAAACATTTGTAAGCATGGCGTGACTGTTGGATTTTCGAAAACATGTCCGTCAGCAATCTTGTTGACTAAACCAGGGTCAGATAAGCACCGAACAGTCACCCAGGAAACCATGTCCCTCCTGCCCTCACCCCCATGATAATCTAAATGACATCAGCCTGTGTTTCTGAAAGGTTCCCAATGTCCTTGGGATGGGGAGTTGTGACTTATCGTGAATCTGTCTTGTGCCAGGTCCTGGGCTGGTCTTTGGGATATGGGTTTAATTGGGAGGATGCTTGAAGGACTCAGAGGGGGACGGTGCTGCCCAAGAAAAAACTGGGAAGGCCTGAAAGAAGCGAGGAATGAATTTGGAGAGCTGGAGGTTGCCCAAGGCTGGCCGACCGAGTGGAGACATCTGGCAGAGAGGGCAAACCCTGGAAAAGGCATAGCATTGCCCAGAGAAGAAGGCCAGAACCGTGGGAGGGGGTCATCGAGAAGAGAGCAAGAGGCTGGGAGAGCTGGCTGGGCCAGAAGGCTCAGCCCATGGCTGAACAGATGGTTGGGGTTTCCAAAGAAATGCATCAGTCCAGAGCAGCCGGCAGCTCTCCCACATGTGGCTCTGGCCAGGGATGGGCGGTTTGGAACCAGAGGCAGTCACTGGAGCCCGAGTGCTCAGGCTGACCAGTGTGGAAATGGGAAATAGAGTGGTTACCATGGAGACAGACTCATTTCTTTTTTATTTATTTATTTATTTTTGCTTATGAAGTCCAGCTGGGAGCCATCTCCGATGCGTGGCCCTGCCTCCCCCTCAGGTTGGGACTGCAGTTTAATTAAACACTTTGGTGCTTTTTCTCTGACAACACTACTCAAAACAGTGTACTGGTTTATCACACATGATTGGGAATGCTAAGAAATGCTCTTGAACCAAAGGGTTTCTCCCCCAGGCTCTGGTCTGTGCCTGCCACATGTGGCTATGTACATTTCAACTGAAAAGTTCAGTGCTTCGATTGTACCAGCCTCGTTTCCTGTGCACAGGAACCACCTGGCAGCTCCACCCCATGGCAGTAGCTTCAGGTAGAAGGTTCCACTATGTTCGGCCAGGTGGGTTTTGTAGCTTTCATATTTGATCTTCATGGTCAACTGGTGAGAGAGGTGTGAAATCACTCCATTTTGGAAGCGACTCAAGATTCCATCCAACGATGAATGGATACACAAAATGCGGTCCATCCATACAATGGAATGTTATTCACCATAATAAGGAGTGAAGTTCTGATACATATTACAACGTGGATGAACCTTGAAAACGTGATGCTACGTGAAAGAACCTAGTCACAAAAGGTCACATATTGTATGATTTCATTCCTATGAAATATCCGAATACGCAAATCCTTAGACACAGAAAGTAGATTAGTGGTTGCCAAGAGCTGGGGTGTGTGGCGGAGAGGGAGTTGGAGAACGGGGAGTGACTGCTAATGGGGATGGAGTTTTTTTCTGGGATAATGAAAATGTTCTGGAATTAGATAGTGTTGATCGTCGCACAGCACTGTGAGTGTACCTAAAGCCACTGAATTGCATACTTTGGTTAAAATGGCAAATTTTATGTTATGTGACTTTTATCTCAATCAAGAAAAAATGGGAATGACAAATAAAACACCCTGTTTTACAGATGGGGCAGCTGAGGGTCAGATGTTTGGGAATTAAGTCAGTTCTTGGGGGTGTAAGGGATGGGATGTCTCACCCCTACATGGCCTCCTGTACCCCGACACTCTTTCCTTACTTCTGATGTCCATTCGGTCACTGAGCCCCATCGATTTGCCTGTGAAGTGTCTCTGAGACCATCCTTTCTTTTGTCCCCACTGCTTGTCACCCACTGACCCCTGGGTGTCACAGGGGATGCCCACCAGATTCGCATGGCCACGTGGGGGCAGTCCCTAAAGGAAGGGGGCTGAGCGTGCAAACCTTGATGTCCAGGTCCTTGGCTGCTGGCTTTGCTGTGCCATTAGGTGCGACCATCACGTGACTCCTGAGCCTCCAGCTAGTGGTGATTTGGATGTTGATGATGAAGGTGATGATGACGTCCCTATCTCGCCCACCTCACAGGATCGTTGTGAAGATGAGATGTGATAAAATATAAACATGTCTTATAAACTGAAAAGTGCTGTGCCCATGTGAGTGGTGACGATGGTCTATTTCCCTTAAGAAATAAATGCTGTGGAATCACCTGACCCCGGGCTGCAGAGTGTGGGTCAGAGGTTCATGTCTGCTGAGAACTATGTTTCTTTGCTCCCCTGGGACATATGGGTTACCCGGTAGACAGAGCAGCGTGTTGTCGAAGGTGCGCTGCCAGTCACTCCTTAGGCTGTGAGATAACCATCAGGAAGTGGACTTTATCAACCCCAGGCCTGTGTGTCTCCTTTAGACAGATGGTTTGTGGCCTTTGGTTTTGGTGTTAACTTTATGTAGGATTCGGCATGGAAGTACCTAAAAAGATTCTAGGAAGAAAAGCATCTTGGGTTTTTTTCTTTTTCACTCCAAATGTGGTTCTTTGACCACCACCAGCAGCAGCATCTGGGAGCTTCTTAGAAGCACAGACCCCAGTGCTCCATTGCAGACCTGCTGAAGCAGAATTTACATTTTAGGATGATCCCCCAGTGATTCCAATGCACGTGGTGTTTGAGAAGCAAACATTGCTCTATAATATCATTGCATACCTGAGAAATCCTGAAGCCAGCAGCTAAAAGTCCTGTGTGAACAGAAGAGTTTATCAATGTGGCTGGCACAAGATGATTAACTGTAAACCAGTAGCAGTCCTTTGGACTAGCAATCACCAGTTAGGAAGTGTAATGAGATCTCACTGATAATGGCAATTAAAATATGAAACGTTTATGCATTAAGCTGAGTAAGGATATGTGATTTCCTCAAGAAAGCACAGAACTTAGGTGGGAAACTCAGAAAGGTACTGATTAAATGGAGACACAAACTATATGTAGACCAGAGGTTCTCATCCAGGGGTGGTTCTGCCCCTTGGAGACATCCGGCAATGTCTAGAGGTGTTTTTGATTGTCACACTGTGGGGAGCTCCTGGCATCTAGTGGGCCAAGGTGAGGGATGTTGCTAAACACCCTACAGTGCACAGGACACCCCCCACCACAGAGAATGGTCTGGCTCCACGTGTCAGTTGTGCTGAGATTGAGCAATCCTGTCTACCCTAGTGGGGTACACACACACATCACTTTAAAAACTCAGGAATATCAACTAATAGTTTGATTACACAGAGCAGTGGAGGATGGGGAACTTAGCCTAGTGGATTGGGAGAGAGATTCCAAAGGGATGATAGTGAAAACAGTGTGATATTGAAACAAAACTTCAATGTAGATCAGTGGAGCAAATTAGTACCCAAAGTCATTTTAATAAAAGTGAGCATATAAAATATAACAAGCATAACATACCCAATGGAAAAATATTCAGGATTTGTTTTGGGCCTAATTGTCCAGCCACAAGCTAAACATCCCTGGTGGGCCACAAGCTGTATCCCAGGCCAAAATAACAGCCACTTTCTCTTTGTTGCCACCTCATCTCCCACCCCTTCACAGTGTGGCTTTCTCATTCCAAGTAGGACCTCGAAGATTGAGGATAAGCAGTAATCCCACTGCTGGGTATATACCCAAAGGAATAGAAATGATCATGGCTAAGGGACACCTGCACTCCTGTGTTTACTGCAGCTCTGTTTACAGTAGCCAAGAGCTGGAATCAATCTAAACGTCCATTGACAGATGAGTGGCTAAGGAAAATGTGGTATATATACACAATGGAACACTACTCTGCCATCAAAAAGAATGAAATTCTGCCATTCACAGCAACATGGATGAGCTTGGAGAAAATTACAAGTGAAATAAGTCAGGCACAGAAAAAGAAATACTGCATGTCCTTACTCGTAAGCAGGAGCTAAAATAAAGAAGGAAAAGAGAGAGAGAAAGAAAGAATCACAATAATACATTGAACTTTCAAAAAAAAAGAACAGAAGTGTGGTTATAAGAGGCGGGAAAGGGGTAGGGTGAGGAGTGGTAGCAAGAAATTAGTTAAGGGTCACAAAGATTGATTACGTTTTATAAACATCAGTATACTAATTATACTGATTCAATTACCGCATATTGTACACATGTATTGATATTTAAATCTGTACCCCACAAATATATATAATCAATTATGTTTCAGTAACAAAATTGTCAAAAAAATTTGAGAATAAGAAGGGTTTGACAAATTTCTGTTCGCTAAGATCCATAATTGGAGCCTTGGCCCTATGAAGGTCATAAGCATTGCAGCCAGAGGGGCTTGGGTTCAAGCCCCAGCATGACCTCGAACTGCCTGCACAGCCTCAGGAGTGTCACATGACCTTTCTGTGACATGGGCAGTAAAGCCTGCAGTGCTGTTGTTGGTATTAAAGGAGAGAGTGTCGGCCAAGGTCAGCATACGAGAGCTTCCTTCCCACCCTCTGCACTTTGCTCCCAGGGACCACGTTCCCTCCTGCCATGCTGCTCCAGTCTCACTGGTGACTCGTGGCCTCTCCTCAGGGGACCTGGTTTTGGGTTGTTTTCACTGAGTGCCGTGCTCTCTTTTTGCGTTGGCCACAGATGATGTCCGGCTGTTTGCCTTTGTGCGCTTCACCACGGGTGACGCCATGAGCAAGAGGTCCAAGTTCGCCCTCATCACGTGGATTGGCGAGAACGTCAGCGGGCTGCAGCGGGCTAAGACTGGGACGGACAAGACCCTGGTAAAGGAGGTTGTGCAGGTAATGCTTCCGTGTTCTGTTAGTCTGGGACATCACCCCCCAGAAAAGGTCACCATCCATCAGGGACAGAGAAGGCTGGGTCTGTGACTTGGCTGTGACTTTGCACAAGCCATGCCTCTGGACCAGTAGAGCCATTGGTGAAATGTCACTAAAGTTTCTTTCGGGATGTGGCTAGGAAGCAGGAGACTGTGTTTGTGACTCTGGCCATCATGTGGTAGAAACAAAGCGGCAGGGTGTCTACCCCTGTGGGTGGGGCAGGGGGGTGACCAAAATGTCAACCACTACCTGGTAACATCATGAAGGACTTCCAGGGGTGGCCGTGAGGATCTGGCGGGAGAATTCACATGTATCCTCTCAGCAGTACCTGGCACTTGCTGAACGAATATCTGTCAACCTTATGAGAGATGGCGGAGGTTTTATAATGATTTTGGTGACCGTAGAATGACAAAGGCTGTATCAGCAATGGTGCAGACACCTAGACTGGGTGATCGGGTACCATGTTATCCATGGCTGACTTATACCCGAGTTCCTGTTAGACTAAAGGGGAAAAGGCAGGTGTACCCTTGGTTTTGTCTTTGAGCTCCTGAACATTTCTCCTTGCAAGAGTTCTCTGTTTTGACGTCTTTTCCATTCTAGCCATTAAAGAAAATTGACACTGTTAGAAACTTCCAAGGTTATTCATTTGGGGTTAGGGTATGGGGTCATCCTGAGAAAAGAAAACCTGAATTCCAAGAAGGTAAACAAGGAAAGGGTTGCTGAGAGAGAAAGCTCTCTCCTTACCCAAGAAATCCATTTGCAAAAGGATTTCTCCCAACCCACGAACTCAGGAATCTCTCCCTCTTTCAGTGTGTTTAGGCTGTTGTTCAAGCGACCTTAAGTATTGTGTTACATGTCCCTTCAGCAGCCTGTCTGCTGCAGAGGGCAAGGGACACTGTCCCCACTCCCTACCAAACACACATTGTTTTAAAGATACAGAACAGTATAAGTTGTCCACAATAAATAAATGTTTAAAACTAATAGGCTAATGATGGGGGTGGGTAACAGCTAAATTTAGGGTATAGGGTTTCTTTCTGAGGCTATAAGAAAGCCCTGCAGTTGACCGTCATGATGGTTGTCATGTGTGTCGGGGTGTGTGTGTGTGTTGGTGTGTGTTGGGGTGTATGTGTGTGTGTTTGGGTGTATGTGTGTGTGTCATGTGTGTTGGGGTGTGTGTGTTGCATGTGTCGGTGTGTGTGTGTATCATGTATGTTGGGGTGTATGTGTGTGTGTGTCGTGTGTGTTGGGGTGTGTGTGTGTATTGGGGGGAGAGCAGGTAATATGGAAACTCGATACTATCTCTCGCAACTTGTCTGTAAACCTAAAACTCTTTCAAAATAAATCTTCTACTTAGAAAATAACAGTAGGAAGTAATAAATTCCTGCTGTCCCACTGTCAGTTCCACTGTCACTGCTGTTTTGGGTCTCCCCAGCAGCTCCCCCATGCCGGGCTCCCCGCCGCCTTCTGCATCACTGTGGTCACGGCCTGCAGACCTTGCCCTAGTCTGCTGCGTCTGCTGCTGCTGCTGTTTTTTGGGCTAACATAATTTCACAAGTTATGTGGCTGCACAGACTTTGAAATCAACGTCTCTCTGGTAGCGGAGGGCCCCATTTCACAAGTGGGCTATAATGTACTGAATGTTTGCCTGTTCTCGGCCTCCTGAGTTGCTTCCAATTTTTATTTTTATAAATAATGTTCCAACGAACAACTTAATACGCACAGCTCTTTTCTCTTTTGCTAAATTAGTCCTTTTAGAATACATTCTCAGGAGGTGGGGTTTCAGAATTAATAGGCATGATAATCATTTCTAAAAGGTATGGGTTGTCAGATTGCCTGTTGAAAGGGTTAGCGCTATGCCTGGAACCGAGTGAGTGCTCAATTTTAAATGTCACTGATTTCACATCTCAATCAGCATTACTGTTAGCCCTCCTGTCTGCACCCTGTCTGGCGCTGGAACCCTTCCTTTGGAAAGCTGCAGCCCTACAGGCTATTTTTCTCCCAGCCAATTGGCTTTTATTGGTTAACTAGCTTTCAGAGTTTTCTGTGTGGCAGGAGAATGAAATCTGCAAATGGGTGCACGTCCCATGGCCAAAGCTCTCCTGCTGAGTTCTGCCCACCTATGCCATCTTGGGCGTGCCCAGGAGCAGAGGGGACAATAAGGGGGAGGCTGCTTGTCAGGATGCATCCAGTGGACACAGTCTTTGAAATCTTCACTTCCTTTTTGCTTTCCATTTTAAAAATTGTGGTAAAGTACAATAACATAAAATGTACCATTTTAATGGTTGTAAAATGTACAATTCCATGGCATTAAGCACATCCACACTGTTGTGCAGCCATCACCACTATCTAGTTTCAGAACTCTTTCATCATCCCAAAGGAAACCTTGTACCCCCTAAGCAGTCTGCAGGGTTTCTTCCAATTCAGAACTCTTTTCAGTTTGGTTAAGTGGGCCAGTGACTGAGGGTGGTTTGGGGAAATTGATTCTCTGGTGGGAATCTTTAGGTGGAAATAGTAGTTATAATATGTTCATTTGCAAGCTCACATACATTGAAGCAAACAGGGGAATTACCAGGCTCTGGGAACTGAGAAGCGCAGAGGTTTTGGCTATAGGCGTGGCTGGATCCAGGCTCAAGCAGTATTTTCATCTCATCTCCCAGTTCTGTTATCCTCTGGGTTTGGCCTCAGGCAGCCTCTGCATAACACCAGAAATGGTCCAGGCCACAGTGGTCCTCCTGGATCTAGATCCCAGAAGAAGAGGGAGGCCTCTTCCCTCAGTGTCAGTCAGTCCCTCAAGAGGGCCCCGATTGGTTCAGCTTAGGTCACATGCAGGGAGGCGGGGTTTCATGATTGGCGGCTCCAGCATGACCCCAGCAGTTAAAAGAAAGGGATGTGGCTAGATGAAAAGCACAGATGTCCACTCCGGTGGGGGAGCCTGGACGCCGTCCTGAATTGCAGGTGCAGTATTATATGCTGCCCATTATCTTTGCATTTTCCACCGCCGTGCTTAAATGTGTTCAACATCTGAAGCTGCTGCAAGACCGCACGTTTATACGATAGCTGCAAATAGAGGCATTTGGGTTACAAAGATGCTGGTGGCATGGTATCTTTCTACATGCAGTGACTGGCACCTGTATCAGCTTTCCCCTCTGTTTAAGGGGGACTCGGGCCAAATGTTATTCAGGGACCTCTCACATAGGCCATTCTGGATTCCATTTCTTGGGGACAAGATCACTTCCCCAGCGGCCTTTTGCCACTATTTCCACGTGGACAATAAGTGGATTGACTTTTAGTTTAAGATTATTAATAAACCCTCAGCTTTTATGGTAATAAAAGTAATACACCCACATCCTTATGTGAAACATGGAGAGTATAAATTCATTGCTTCGTTGTTGATGTACAGTAGCCAGAATCAAGAAGGGGGGTTTTCATGCCACTAACTACCTACCTGACCATGAGCAAGACACTCCCCCACCCCCTGGGCCTCAGTTTCCCCATTTGTAAAATGAGGAATTAGATGAGTTGACTTACTGTGTCATATTCTGTTTTGGCATATTCTGAAAATTTTTCTTTTTGTTTTTCTTTTTTAAAATGGGGTGATTTATTTATAACAGAATTTTACCTTTAAAAGAACCTTATTTTGGGGCCGGCCCGGTGGCGCACCGCGCTCCCGCCGAGGGTTCAGATCCCACATACAGACCGGTTCCCGCTCACTGGCTGAGCGAGGTGTGGGCGCAACACCGAGGGTTGCGATCCCGTTGCCGGTCCGGTCCGGTCCGGTACGGGGGCGACACTGAGGGTTGCGATCCGTTGCCGGACACGAAAAAAAGACAAAAAGGAAAAAAAAAAAAAGAACCTTATTTTACTTTGACAAAGAGGAATGTAGTGCAGTGGTCCGGAGTGTAGACTTTTGAGCCAGATGGTGTGGGTTCAAATTTCAGCTTCATCACTTACTGCGTGGCCTTGGGCACATTGCTTACTCTCTCTGGGCTTCAGGAACCTGGTATGTAAAATAGGGGTGATATAATATGTACCTCTTAGGGTTGTCGTGGGGATTAAATGAGCAAATATAGGGAAAGTGCTTAGAACAGTCTGGTAATGACCCTGAAAATAGTAGCTGTCATTTGCAGTTTTCCCTTTTATAGGCAATACCGTGCTGTGCAGCTTGTGCAGAAAACATTTAAACACTTCTTCATTGTGGATCATTTCTGTAGGAGATGGTAGACTTGTTGTTGAGCCCAGGGCATGGGGCATGGATCTCGTTCACCTGTCTTGTCTGCTTGTCTGGCATATGGCCCAGGCCAAGGTTAGAGCCATCAGCAACACAGGGAGGTCCTGGCCTTACTCACACTTTCCAGTGCTGACAACTTGTGCTGTATCTGTGGCCTGCCACCTAGATGCATTGGCATACAGGGAAACTGAGGCCCAGAGCAGTGAGAGGACTTGTCCCAAACCCACAACTAACAGCGGCAGGGCTGGGGCTGGAGCCAGGAGAGGTAGAAGTCAGAGGTTCGGCTCTGAGTCTGTTGGGTCTGTATTCAGATCCAGGCTGAGAAACTGAGCCACGTCTGTTGCTTGGGGAACAAGACAAAACAAGATGAATGCCGTCAAGGCCACAGCAGCAGGGGCCACCGGGTGAGCCGGGCTGGGCGGCTATGTCGGCCAGACATGAGTCCAGGGAATGCGCTGAGTGCACAGCACGCTCGACCGCTTCGCCCGGCCGTGTCTGCTGCGGAAGAGCCTGGCTGCCGCCTGGGACAAAACACCAGCCCCATTGTTCTTGTGTCTCTGGAGGATTGTGGGCACGTTGCCGTGGCCAGTGACAGAGACTGACCAGGGCCAGGGCCAGGCCTCTCAATTTAGAGCCAGACTTGGTCAGTGACGCATCATGCTTGTCTTGCAAAACGGTTTTATTCATGTGCTTGTTTTATTTATTCTTTAACATAATATGAATAGTCACAGAACCA